GTCTGGAGATGTTTGTATCACTGAACCTGCCTCCCAGGAAGGGCTTTCTTCCGTCAGTGCTCACTGGCCGTCCTGACCCTGTTCGTTGCTTCTGTTCCCTTTGTCTTCATGGAGTGGTAGCCAACGACCCACGAGGAAAGGGAGAGAGCCCACATAATTCTAGTTCCAGGGGATCCATCAGCCTCTTCCGTCCTCGGCAGGCATTGCATGACGTGGGTGCATTTACCTACATGCAGGCATAACACTCATACACATAAAATAAAAATAATAAATAAAATAAAATAAAAGTTAGGGGCTGGAGAGATGGCCCAGTGGTTGAGAATACTGGCTGCTTTTGTAGAAGACCTGGGTTCAGTTCCCAGCACCCACATGGCTACTGTCTGTAATTCCAGTTCCAGGGGAATTCATTGCTCTCTTCTGACCTCCACTTACATGCATGCAGGCAATATACTCATACACGTAAATAAAAATAATAAAATATTAGAAATAAAAAATGAGTGGCACGTCAAGAGTAATGAATAAATATAGCTCTACAGTGCCACACAGTGGCCATCTGGGTACCACAGCAGGACTTTCAAATGTCCAGTTCCCGCCGTGAAAAAAATTACTTATTCACTTTAAGAATACAGTCAGGCTGGGAGTGATGGCACATGCCTTTAATCCAAGCACTCAGGAGGCAGAGGCAACCTCTGTGAGGTCTGTGAGATAGAGGTCAGCCTGGTCTACATAGCAAGTCCCAGGCTAGCTGGAGCTACAGGGAGACCCTGTCTCAAAACTATAATTTGCTCTTGTCATTAACTTAAGATATTGGTAAAGTCATTGAATCTAGGAGCTTGTCATGTCCCCTGGGGGCCGGAAGGCTGCTGGGGACTGAGCTCTCACATATGCTAGTAGGGCTCCATCACTGAGCCACAGCCGTAGCCTCTAAGTTTTGAGGTTATAATAAAAAATGAAGGGACTATATTGCCTGTGTCTTCCAGTGCCAAAATCTAGATTATTTTGTTAAAATTCACAGCTCATTATTTTGTTGAGCGTGTGTCTCATTTAATAAGTGAAATTGTGTGTTATTTATTTATTCATTTATTGGGGGGAGCAAAGCATTTATTTGGCTTACAATTCCAGGTTACATAATCCACTGCTTCAGGGAGAAAACTGAAGCACCACAACCACATTAATTAGAGAGAAAGAATAAACACATGGATCTTGCTTTGCGGCTCAGCTAATTTTCTTTTGTCCTGTACAGTCCAGGACAAAAGAAATCCCACATTTACTGAACAATCAGGACAATCCCCCACAGACATTCCCAACTTAATCTAGACAATTCCTCAATTGAGGCTTTCTTGTCAGGTGATGCAATGTTGTGTCACTTTTTGTGTTTGTTTGTTTTTTTGATGTTTGTTTTTTTGAAGCAGGGTCTCCCTGTAGCCCCAGCTGTCCTGGAACTCACTATGTAGACCAGGCTGGCCTTGAACTCACAGAGATCCGCCTGCCTCTGCCTCCCAAGTGCTGGGTCTGCAGGCATGCGCCACCGCACCCAGCTGGTTGTGTCACTTTTACAGTTAAAGCAGTCTAGATTATTTCAGTATGCACTCATCAGTGTTGTTGTGGAAAGGAACACAGACTCGAGGCCTATAGATGGATTGTAAAGTCACAGGGCTGTGAAGAGAAGACAAATGATAGGATACCAGCGGAGGGAAAAGAACCA